ACAAACATACTGAATAAATTATTCCCACCTCTTCCTCGATTCTCGGATCAGAGCTTCATATTAATAATGTACGTAGAATACTATAAATCCATATTATATTAGTGTTGTAGTACTTCTTGGTAGCGAGGTGGGTGTGTGTTGTCTGCGTAGGTTAATTACAGCTTACGCATTTGAGAATTTGATGAATATTCAGCATCAGGCCAACACCTTACCATGCTGTATAAACTCACACGCTCACTCTGCTAGCCTGTGTTTACATATTTCTGAACGAAATGTGTGGGCACATAAATAAAACAATTGAAGAATATAAATTTCTTTTAACAAGTCCTGTTAATTAAATCTACCAATGGTTCGGGCTTTTTGTTGTGTACTATTTGTGCAAGCAAATTATTCCAATTACGAAAGTTTGTGTTTGTGATATTATTACTTTAGCGATTTTAAATGAAGAAATAAAAAACTTCTTTAAAATTCAGATTTTTCCAGTGAAATACCTATATATTTTTGAACGTCTGTCTCAATTTGTTTTATTAATACCTAAACGAAAAATTCTAGAAATATTTTTAATATTTCAAGTGAAAAGGAGTTCGCGGCAAGGGTACAGCTGTGGCCAATCACTCTTAGAATTAACTCTCCGTAGGATTGATGAGACTATACAGCGAAGCACTTTTGGGTAATCCTGAACTTCCTTGAAAAAATTGTAATACTGTTAATTGTAGATTTTCCTAACATACCTACTTATAACACCAGACGACTGTCAACAATAGTTTTAAAATATTGATTAAGAATATTTTGTGATTTCTGTGTAGTTAAAGACGATACTCATGATAAACCTCGAATGTTACCGTAATAACCAATATTTTTTTTTTTAAAACATGACCATAGTTTAGCGCTTTCGCTACCTTTTTTTTAAAAAAAGGAATTATACTGATATTAATATAAATAAAAAAAACATTATAATAAGTGATTAAGCACGCAAGACTGATATACAATTAAAAAAATAACGTTCGTATTTTGAAATGCATTCCAATTTGTGGCGGGAATATCACGTTCATTTCGTTCATCGTGTTGACGGAGAACATAAAATAAATATATTATTATTTCGAAATGGGATACTACGACGAGATATTTAATATTATAATTACATAGCCTGCGTATGAAATGTTCATAACTAAGTTTTTTATCGCTTATACTAGCTTTTAAGTACGAGTTTTATATCGAAATATAAAGTAACCTCAAATTAGATTTTCAAAACGGAACTTTAATAACCTATATTCCATAGACCAGATAAATTATTTAGATAAATTGGGAGTACAGATAATACGTGTTGAAAATAACGTATCTGATCTTTGAATAAATACTTATTTCACTTAATCAACTCAAGGCATTAATTATTTTCTCTTGCCATATGGTGGCTGGAGGTTAAGGCAAGTGATTTTTCCCGAGTAGATAATATGTACTTTCTATGATATTAAGACACACATTGACATACGGTGAAGGAAACATCGTGATTAAACCTGGACTTAGAAGAAGTTTGAAAACGCCTTCACCTTAAACAAGCGTGGTGATTAATGGTCAAACCCTCTCTTCGTTTGAGAAGAGGCCTTTGCTCAGCAGCGGGCACGTATAGGCTGATGATGCGTTGTGTAATGTGATTCTTGCTGTAACAACTGTCCAAGACAACCAGTTATACTTTTTATATAAGATTCCTTGAGCACAATATAACGGTACTTAGCATTACTAACTTAATCAATTAATACAGTCTCTTCCAATTTACGTCAGTTCAGTCACATCGCGCCCTGAATATCTAATTCTATTAGTTTGTTAATAATTATTAGCATTCAACTGTCGACTGACCTACTGTTATATATCATAAATAATATTCGAACCTTAATAAATTGAACTTTAGGTGTCAAGCACACGATATTAGAGAAAATTCTAGAGTTGGGCCACTTTATATGTTAAAAAGCACTGTTTTATTGGTTATACTTAAAGTTAAACATCATTTGTCAATCAGTTAAGATAGAATTTCGTTATATTTTTTTTATGTAGCCAACCAGATGTACCTAGACATTCGGTAATTTGAAGAGTCCTGTACATGTTCTGATTTCAAATATTTTACTTTGATTCTATTTCAACAAAATCTATATAAAATCTTATTACTAATCAATCCTAATTTACTTTTTTTTAGTGGTACTTTTTAGCATTTTCCTTTCACCTGAAAACCAATAATAAATTATTACGATACCTCTTAGAACACACAATTTACTTACGTAAAACAAAACAATTTTATCTCTTCACATACATGCGTACAGATTAAATTAACTGAACGAGAACATTGTACAAAACAAAAACAAAAATCCAATTACTCTTTTATTCAATAGACGCGGGTGAAAAGAATTGAATCACATTCAACGTCCGCGTCAATATGTATTATTGCGAAAAATCTTAACTAACATTTAATTTAGCTCACGAATGATATTTCATTCACATCCATTCATCTGAAATAGACAGGGCCATGCATGATACTATTTTTATTAATCTATTTTCAATTTACCTGTGAATCGTAAAGCGATATAAAAATATTGATATTCATAGTACGAACATACCATTTTGAGTGAACGATCATACCAAATCCCGACGGAATATGTTCGGAATTCAAATAAGTTACAAATATCAGTGGGTCCTCGGTATTTGCGAATCAAATAGGTCTACAGAGCGCCTCGTGTTCCCTGATTGGCCAAATCAAGGCTCCTCGACTCCTCGTGCCTCGTTTGTCTGCACCTGATTTATATGCTAGCGGGTTATGAAAACTGATCCCCTTTAAAACAATAATGTTATTGTATTCCACGTAGGTACAATTTGTAGAACTTTTATGTTCTTTTTTTAATAGGTACGTACAAATGATCATTATTTGTGTATTGATTTTGTTTTATACATATTTCCCACCACATTTTTCAAGAATTGACTAAACGCTAGTATAGTAAGTATAATATATGACGAACAAAATACTAGATAAACACACCATGGATTTCGAAATCAAAGTGATGATCGGGACTTATAAGCAGTCTAATATAAGTCTAACACTACGACAGCACAATGAAATTGATGTAAAACGTACAAACTACTCTTCTTAACTCAAACCTTACGCATCTTATTTAAGAATGAGACAGAGAAAATCGTAGGCCTAACAAGCTTTGTAATTAACAACAATAACGTGGATCTAAATTAAAGCAATTCAGCTAAACAATATGGTGGTAATAAAGCAATTAATTTATTGTTTACGATTGTAACGATTCCCTTGGTAATGGCAGACGCAGGGAGCGATAAAAAAGCGAGTGGCCACTAAACGGCAGTCCTATTACCTGTCATTATGCTCAACAGAATACAATAGTGAGCTTGTCTATTTACTGCGTGGGTTCAAAGCGTATCTCTTGGGGCCTGCGACGTACACTGGGTTTAATTGGCGCGCTCTACCGACCACGCCTCTCTCCGGTACACATTTTACCCACTCCGGCAAATTGATTGTAATCTAACCGAAGGCGAAGTCAATGAAACTATTCAATTACGAACGGCCTACCACTATCCTAGTTTGGCTATGAACAACTGTTCACCCGTGACATGTCTTAGTCACGGTAACCTGCTTTGTTATGCTTTATCTTAATATCTGCAAATTGATAACACGAATGGTTGAGTTTTGGTACTGCATTAAACCTATTCTCATAATTTTATTGCTGTGTATATTATGAATGTTATGCTGTATGTAATAATATGTTAATGTGTGTGTGTGTGTGATTTTTTTTGTGTGATGCTAGCATATAGGTTACTTACCTGATGGTAAGCAATCAGCGCAGTCCATGGACACAAAAGGGAGTTATGAGTGTGTTGTTAAAAGTGTGTAAGGGTTATAAATAAATCGGTATTAGTACGTAGATTTATGGACTTACGTAGGTAGGTCCTACACAATACAGAATTGTAATTCTATGAACTAAGCTATTATATTGTTTGATCTCGACTTTTAATGCAGCTGTTGTCGGTTGATATCATTTATAGTAGTGCATGCAAAAGTCTCTCTTGCTTAATTAGTCAACACAGTCAATTAGAGCGAAACTGAAACTCGATATCTCGGTCTCTTATTGCAATGAGGGTTTACGACACTTTTTCTTTACTTTTCGTCAGGTCCAAACAGCTGTCCGATAGCACAGATTCTTACAGAACGTTATTTTATGTAGGTATTTGGTGTTATTGATTTTATTATGGCTACAAGCCACTCTTTTAATCGGCTTTTATCTTCTGTAGGGAACTTATGTCCTCCTTTTTTATTTGCACACATAGGCACTGCACAACAGCATTGTGGCATTTTGAATTTTGAATATTCCGTTTGTAACGTTTTTAGGAATAAATAAACCAAAAAAATGATTGAAAAATATAATTCGTGTATGTGTTTTGACAGGTAGACCTGACGTTACAGTGCTACCATCTTACTGGGGGAACATTTCAGAAAACTATCATTGATGATATCGCAAAGGATAGATAGACCAAAATATTGACGATTTAGAAGTGATTCAGGACACAGAATGAAGTATGTGATATAAGTCTAACTTCATTAGGTGGGGTTCGGCACATAACCGGCAAGAATTCGAAACCTATAAAGCAATCCTCAACCACACATTCTTCAATCCCCAAATCCATCAGATCATCATAATCCTTTAGAATGCCAGCAACTCTTCTGGTGTTTCGTGCATCCATGGCCGACGACGATTGCTTAACATCAGGTAAACTATTTGCTCGATTACCGCCCAATACATTTACTTAAAAAAACTCTTAATTTTATTAGTAGAAAATGATCAAATCTTATTCAGATTACGTTAGGTTGTTCTATATTGTTACAATAGAATTCAAGATTATTACGCGTTCGAAGCTAAAATCAAACAAAACATTTGAAATTTGAATTTAAAACGTTCGAATTTTGAAACTTATAATAACAAACGTCTATGTAGTTGGTCGCCATTTGGTCGCCATATTATTATTTCAATTTTACGTTATAAATGAAGACCACAGAAAGTTTTATTTATGTGTTGACTATAATTATTGATACATCTTCTGTCTAACCTTTATAAATTAGGTACATGAAGTCACCCTGATATGTTTTATCATTATTTAATTACCATAATTACTACATAAATTTAAAAAGCGACTCTTTTCATCAATGCTCAACAATTTAAATTTCATAATAATTTCCCTACGGTGAGTGAAACCGCATACGCATATGGAGCAGTAATTAGTTTACAAATACTTGCACTGGTTAAGCGTTTTGAAAACTAATTACATCATTAGCATTGTCAGTTTATAGACCATATTTAATACCTACTTATAATGTTCCTTCACACCAAAAACAATTGACCAAGTATTAAAAATAAAATAGTTAATAAGTATACTTTAATTCAGTAGGTATTGCTTTGTCAACCACCAATTTCATGTTACCTCAACTTTTCCTTTTCGTTTTCGTTCTTATATTCGATCGGGCTTTGAAAAGAAACCACATGTTTCAATACGATTATTAATTTCCATGCTATTTAAATTTAGAATAACAACACAAAATAGGAATGTGTACATTTCAAGAAGAAATAGTAGTAGTAGATGAAACAGTTATAATGAACAGGATTATAATATAAATATTATTTTCATAATATTATGGCACTTATGGTCTATCAATTAAAGTTTAAAATTGTTTGAATAAATGCTAAACTATATATTTATATAAGGTTAGGAAGGACACTTTATTGAGGAGAATCTTCCGGTTGGTTGAGGTGACCATCCCTGGTGGGCTACTGCAGAACAGTGGTAACTTTTCATCAGCAGGGGATTTTTTGTCTATGCACATCTGCGCGCTAATTTCACTTGCGCGATGTAGGATTCGTGACGTCATCTATTAATTTATGCCCTGCCATATGTCCATTTTTCATCAAAAGCCTTTATCTTTTCGACATTAGCGTTTTGCTGAAAATTCATCGTAATTTGAAATATGAAAGAATGCATACTTTTAAAATATCTTATGCTGTTACAAAGGTTATGCTTGCTTAGTTAGCCTTGTGAAACGATTCCTTAATATAACAAAAAAGTTGCTATCTACATATAGAACATACATATACATAAGTGATAAAAATTGTCTGATGTCGTCATAAATTCTACATCGCGCAAGTAAAGCCAACAATTACAACCAAACCAACAGTTATAACTTATGATTTTCTATCCTCGATGTCAAATCTTATCCTTCTAGTTTCCTTTAAGTCATATAAACAAAACAAAATAAATTACTTACAAAACAATAATAGGTAGTAGTAGACCTTTTGACACAATTTCTAGGAACTGGAGGTACTATGATTTTATTGTGACTACGAGTACAATTCAGGAGACGAATTTAGATTTTCTCACTTCAAAATAATATGGCATAACTACAACTTCAATATTCGAGGTCAGTCATTTGTTTACCTTTCTTTAACAATAATATTAGGTATCAACGTACTCCAATAATAAGTATTCTTTAATATTATGATATAGCTAATTGATATAGTTCAGGTTTTTACAATGTTTTGAGATGTAATTAGGTTATAGCCCACATTTAGATACATTATCCAATTAATTAATTGAAGGTCATGTTTCGGTCTGACTGAAGCTCACAGAACACCGGCATTAAACAACGCTTTTTTTAAGGGGTAAAAATCATCACATGTCTTATATCCTGCAGCTGTCTATTGTCCTTAAGGTTACTTTATTTTCATATTTGAATAAATATTAGTGTTACACTGTTCTCACATAATTGAACCAACTGTTTGTAAAAGGAATCTGTATGTGAAACTGATTTAAAAAGAGTAACCATGGAGTTTCTTGCTCGTTCTTCTCCATCGGAATCTACACTTTGGAACGAGCAAATAGCTTCACTAAGAGGACTGACCGACAGACTGACACTATTTTTTATTTTAAATTTTGTTTGACGTTCAAAAGTGCCTGTAAAGGTCTAATTGGAATAAATGATTTTTGACTTTTTTTGACTTTTTTTCGAAGGGTGCAAGGTAGTGTCAGGCTCCTACTGAGTAAAAACCACCTCGTTGTTTCTCCTGCTCCAGGCTGGGTCCACAGTTCATTATTGCGTTTAACCCCGCCTGAACAAACTGAATAATGAAACAACGCTTACGTTGTGGTTCGCCACATTATGTAAGTGAACACTCACATTTACAACTCCGCTGATATTGCTTACCATCAGAAAACACGCAGGCGTATCTCCTTAGACCACGTTTGCTGCCCTAGTCCATAAAGAATCCAAATTATCTACCAGATAAGACTATCAAAATCTTAATAACTCGACAACATAGTAACAAACTAATCGGCCGTTCACCTTACTCATATAAATCATAAGCACAAACATATATGTATTACTATAACTCTAAATATAGTACAAGGCAGTTCATTTGTTCCACTTAAAAATACTCAATCACAGTAATACAACTACGAGATACATTTACACAATTATGTGCAAAACCTTAACCAATCGAATAGGATCTTTTGAAAGCAGCGTATCTTCTCGTCCTACAGAATTTCCTCTTATACCTCCTTCTGTTATGAAAAACTTTTAGTTTATCATTATTATTGGTCAGCTCAACAATATTTAGCCATTTTTGATCCAAATCTTCAGGCGGCTTATCATTCACTAAGATAATAGGAAGTCTGTTTAGTTCAACTTCTGTTCGAGTATTCTTGTCTCCTTTCATTAGTGCTGTTGATATTTCTGTCCAGTTTTTTTCTTCAGGAGTTGATGTGGAGTCTTTCCCAGACATAACAGTGGCGTCGATATTGTTTTGATTTATCTCCGATATAGCGACGTCGCCCTCGGCCTCGTCTCCTGCCTGCCCCACCTCTACGTCGAACAGACGAAACTGAAATTATAAACCGAAAGCGTTATTGAACAGAAATATTTTAATGCTAGAGATTTTTTTATATCTGATATCTATGTAAATTTGTAGATGATTTATTTGCAAAAGTGAACTAGTTTGTTACGATTTAACGATTTTTAAGATCTACTTTGGTTTGAACTTACTTAGATTTTTCATTTCTTTTCAGTCCAAACATTATTAATACCGAAATTACACTAAATTTAATTTTAAGGACGATCACAGAAGCGGTCTCATTTTCGAATCGGCCGCACACAATCTCTTTAACATAATCATTATAAAATTAATCACCCATCACATTGGTAAAGCTTAAAATAAACTTTATGTGGAACGAGTACAAACAAAATTTACAGTAAAATCATTTTGAATGCCAACCAGAGAACGATGTTGAAATTGTAATGAAAATTCATTACAGATTATATTTAGAGTACAAGGCGTAACATTGTGTTGGTAATTACTCTTCAACATATAGCATTGTCGAACTTGGAACAAACAAACAACGTTTAAGATCGTGAGATATGTAAATATACAAGCACACTTTATACGCCAAGATTATACGCGAGCTACGTGTTTATATTTACACGGTTAAAATCAGATGCCAAAGGAAAATATCAATGAGGATACAATTTTGTGGTAACTTAGTGACTGGTTCACACGTAACCAGTAGTTTCAAAACGCATAAAATATGACATCTTAATCCAGGCCGTGAAAGTGAGAAGTGATAAAAAGAAATCTTAAATAATGATATGTGGCATCTTCAAATGCTGAATACAATAATATGTATTATTTTTATGTAACAGGTCGCCAAATGAGCAGACGGATTACCTCATGGTAAACAATCAGCGCCGCCCACGCAACGGAAGAGTTACGAGTACGTTGCCAATCTTTTAGGGATTAAGAATTTGGAGATTTAGGGTCTGGAGAGGGATTGGGGAAGGGGCAGGATTGGGCCTCCGGTAACCTCACTGTTACCGGCAACGCCATCTACTGGCATAATAAGGGACAATTAATGGTGTGAAGTTGCGACGCATGACGCTTGCCGCGAAATTGGATTTTTTTTAAAACTGTTCGAACTTCACTCTCTACATAGCATTGTGTCGAGTCACATCTTTTTTTCACATTTATTTAACTATTACTGTTAAATTAAAATAAACGATTTATCTCACATCAATAAACGAATTATTGAAGTACTGGAGAATAAAATTACTGAAGCCTCAACCCTGCTGTTCAAACATTGGTCCATCGAGCCACATAGAAGCATCGCATCGCATCGAGAATCAGCAAGAAACGGCCAGGCTGGTTGTTCCTGTTCCTCCCATCCATCCCTTAGAATGTCTAATATCGTGCTGTGTTTTTAAAATTACAGTGTTCGTAAACCTACCGAGTTGTTGGTGTGCAGTACGTGGTGCCTATCAACTTGTATTCGCTGTGGGTGTTTAAACGTGAGTAACCATTTTGTCTCTTTGTAAGCCACCAAAATGAGTGAAGAGGAATACGGTGAAACTAGTTTTTCAAATGTAGGTGATCTCAAAAAACAAAGGGGGTCTTTAAAAGGGCGATTAACGTTATTTGAAAAGTATATAAGCAAGTACGAAAATGTTAAATTATCGGAACGACAACAAGTTGAACTTAGTTTACGGATGGAATCAGTTACTAATGTCCTTACGTCTTTTAACAAAATTCAAGATAAAATCGAGCAATTAATAGATGAGGTTGAATTAGACCAACAATTTGAATATAGAGAAGCCTTTGAGAACCAATATTTTAGTATTATGTCTATTGCAAAATGTTTGACCGATGTCGTAAAAGTTCAAGGCAAATGTAATAATACAGAGGGTATGCAAAATAAAAGTTCAATTAAACTACCTCAAATTGTCCTCCCCACATTCGACGGTTCATATGATCACTGGCTCGAGTATAAGAATTCTTATTTATCTATGATACATAAACGGACCGATTTAGATGCAATTCAAAAGTTCCATTACCTAAAGTCTTCGCTTACTGGTTCCGCACTCCAAATAATAAGTGCATTGGAGTTTACTGCTGCCAATTATACTCACGCATGGGAGCTTTTAGAAAATAGGTACCACAATAACCGATTGCTAATACATAACCACGTCAAATCTTTGTTTACTGCACAATCTATTAAAACAGAATCTCCGTCGTTAATTAGGAAATTAATTGATGTAGTTTTACGTAACCTGCGAGCGCTTAAATCTCTTGACGAACCGACTGACACCTGGGACACTTTAGTTATTTATATAATCGTTTCGAAACTGGATTCAACTACTGAGCGTGAATGGGAGAATTATAAGGGCACCATATCGCCAGATCTTAATAAAGTTAAAATAAAGTTAGATGATTTGTTGTGTTTTTTACGTAATCGTGCTGATATGTTAGATATGGTTCATAACAGTACTCGACATACAAATAATAAGCCTAATAATACGTCTGAGGTCAAAAAATATACAAGTACCGCTCAAATCGCGCAATTACATAGTTACGTGTCCACGCGTAACAATACGACTAAACACGAAAAATCGAAGAATGTTTGTGTTATGTGCGGTGAAAAGCATGCATTGTTTATATGTTTTAAATTCCTTAATTTAACAGTTTTAGATAGAATTAAATTTGTTGAAAATACGAAGGATTTGTGTCGCAATTGTTTACGAACAGGTCACACACTATCAGAATGTTTGTTTGGGCCATGTAAACAATGCAAGGACAAACACAATACTTTATTACATAAAAATAAAAGCCATGTTATTGCATCGGTGCCGGCTGCTTCAACGGCGAATGTTGATAAGGAACCGGTTTCTGTCGTGTCATGTGCTTTGAATTCTTTAGACGACACCATAGCCTCGCCAATCGAAAATGCGTCTTGTGTTTTATTACCACAAGTGTTATTATCTACCGCGATAGTTGAGGTCCTTGGTAACGATAACAAATACTATACGGCTCGCGCGCTAATAGACGGTGGTAGTCAAAATTCTTTCATTTCGGAAAGTCTTTGCCAGCGTTTAAACGTGTCATTAATACAGTCCACAATACAAATTTCAGGTGTAGGACAGTCGGTCTCACACTGTAATAATTTATGCGATATTACCATGCGATCAAAAACGAGCAACTTTAATATTCAATTAAAATGTTATGTTCTGCCGGGCATTACAACGAGTTTGCCGGCATCTCATATTTATTATGATACGCTATTAATCCCGGAAAACATACGACTTGCGGACCCTACGTTCAACATACCATCAGAAATCGACTTGCTGATCGGTGCTGACGTTTATGGGGATTTGTTAGAAGTGGATAGAATTCGATTATCAAACGGTCCATACCTACAAAACTCAAAGGTAGGTTGGCTTATTTCAGGTCCTATATTTACAAACAATTTACGTTGTAATAAAGTTCATTGTAATTTTACACAACAGTCTAATATAGATACACACTTGCGTAAATTTTGGGAGCTGGAAGAAATTGAAAATTCGGTACTTGTATTCACCGAAGAAGAACGTCAGTGTGAGGAATTCTTTATTAAAACAACTACACGAGACAAGAGTGGCAGGTTCTCGGTTCGAATACCATTGAAGGAATCAGCTGACGTCCTTGGTGATTCATACGAGAGGTCAAAGTCACGCTTCGAGTCATTAGAGCGGAAATTTGAGAAATCCCCTTCATATAAAAAGTTGTATAGTGACTTTATACGGGAATATATTGACCTAGGGCATATGTCTCGAATAAGCGAATATGCACGGCCGCATTATTTCCTACCACATCATGGGGTATTACGTGAGCACAGCACTACAACAAAACTTCGGGTAGTGTTCGATGCTAGTGCCGCAACTACCTCTAATAAATCTTTAAACGACATACAGATGATAGGCCCTCCCCTTCAAAACGACATCTTTTCTATTTTGCTTCGTTTCCGACAGTACAAATATGTTGCCAGTGCTGACGTGGAAAAGATGTACAGGCAAATACTTGTTCACCCCGCTCAACGTGATCTTCAGCTGATTTTATGGCGGGAAAACACATCTGATGAATTGAACGTGTATAGACTTAATACTGTGACATACGGAACCGCGTCCGCTCCGTACTTAAGTATGCGTTGTTTACGTCAACTCGCACAAGATACGGATGATAAAATTATTGCTAGGGTAATAAATGAGGATTTCTTCGTCGATGATTTAATCACCGGGGAAGACGACCCTCAAGTTTTATTGAACATATGCGAGAAAACTTCAGAGATTTTAAGGTCTGCTTGTTTTCCATTACGCAAATGGACATTCAATTATAATGTAAACAATGAAATATTTAAGGACTTATCGAGCGGTGAACACTGTCAAAATAAAACACTTGGTTTAGGATGGCAAGTAGATACAGATGTACTTTATTTTACCACCAACGTAGAAAACATATCAAGGGTCACTAAGCGATTAATGATGTCTGTGATATCACAAATTTATGACCCGTTAGGTCTATTAGCGCCTACAATAATTATAGCAAAAATAATGCTTCAAAAGTTATGGCTTTGTAAAATCGATTGGGATGATGCGGTCCCAAACGATACTGAATGTTTGTGGAACCGATTTATTCAAAGCCTGTCGTCGTTAGAAAATATCCGGGTCCCTCGTTACGTCATGAGTGAACATGCATTAAATTGCGAACTACACATTTTCACTGACGCATCACAAAATGCATATGGGGCTTGTGCGTATATACGTACGTACTCGGATAAATCATCGGTATCCGTCAAATTGTTATGTGCCAAGAGCAAAGTGGCCCCTGTAAAAATAGTGTGTACAATCCCGCGACTTGAACTTTGCGGCGCCTTGCTCGGCGCGCGTCTATATCGAAAAATTATTTCTTCATTAAGGCTAACGTTTACTAAGGTTTGCTTTTGGACTGATTCCACCATAGTCATGGGCTGGATTAGAATGCCACCTCATAATTTAAAAACGTTTGTCCAAAATCGAGTATCC